GCAGGGGCTAGACACCGCCCTGGCCCCAAGCACCGGGCACCAAGGTTCTGTGTCTCCGTCGCCACGCAGAGCCGACCTCTGGCGCGATGGTGGCCGTCTGGCTGGTGCCCGTCGGGCAGAAGCTGCTGCTCTGGGGCGCGCTCAGCGCCGTCTCCCTGGCGGGCGCCACCCTCATCCTGAGCTTCCTGCAGATGATGGCGAGCTACTCGCATAAGTGGCTGCAAATGAGGCGCATCCCCATAGTACCGGGTGCCTACCCCTTGGTGGGACACTCGCTGGTCCTGAAACGAGGAGGGAAAGGTAAGGGACTGCGCGCCCGGGCCAGCTGCATCCCCGCCATGGGCTGTTGGGCCCCTTACCCGCCTGGGGCACCAGGACTGGAGCTGCAGGCTGCTGGGTGAGGGGCGACTCTATCACCCCCTGGATAATGGGTTCCCACTTCTCTCCAGTTTTCATTACACATAAGTGCAGTGTTTCTAAACTCCCGTCTTTCTGCCCTTTTTCTTCTTATTTTCCCAACTGCTGTCTGCTGGTATCTGAAAACACCATCTGCAGCCCTAGCTGGCTTAGCTCAGTGGATAGAGCTTGGCCTGTGGACTGAAGGGTCGCAGGCTTGATTCAGGTCAAGGGCATATGCCTGGGTTGCAGGCTCTATCCAGTGGGGGTGGGGGTGGGCATGCAGGAGGCAACTGATCAGTGATTCTCTCTTATCATTGATGTTTCTCTCTCTCTCTCTCTCCCTCTCCCTTCCTCTCTGAAATCAATAAAAATATATTTAATAAGAAAAACAACAAAAAACACCGCCTTTTTTTCTTTTGTCTTTACTGTTTAAGTCCTAAAGGTAGACACAACTTATAACTAACTCTCTCTCTCTCTCTCTCCAAAATTAGAGACGAGAAATGCACTTGATACCAGAGCCTCTCCCTCCAGAAATCACAACACTTCACCACAACTTTCATTCCTCCTTGGCCCTTTTAGGAGGTTGCATAACAACATGAATTATGTTGTTATTCACCAAGGCCTGCCCCATAAGTCATACAGCAAGTTTCAGAAGTCTTATTTGTTAAGGAGAGAATTGGTTTTTTATTGAAATCATCTTTTGAAGCTGATGGCCTTTATGTTATGTTATGATAGTGGTAGAGGGGTCACTTTAAGTTAGAAAGCTCCTAAAAGTCCCTGATGTTTATGTTTGGATGCCCCATGAGGGAGAGTGAGTTATCTCTTAGCACTTCAACTTTGTGGCTGTAGAAGCTGAGATGCCCAGAACTGAAAAGATTTGCCCCAAATGACATATTTCAAAATGAGCCCAGAACTAGAATCCAATCACCCCTCAGTTTAATTCTTTTGGGGGAATTTCTCTAAGAATTGAAATCTCTAGTGAATAAGATCCATTTCAAAGCAAACTGTTAGTTATTGGGTTATTTAAAGTAATTCTCTTTGTAGTTACTTCGGGAGAGAAGAGCATGGTAACACATTATCTTTCTCAAGGGGACTTTTTAATGCATCAACAACTACTGGATCTGGGCATGAGACCAACCTTTGCTCCCTCTCTGCTTGTAACCAACGTGCTTGACTTTGAAAAGTTGTTTAGAACTCTCTAAGTTAGAGTGTGTTACCCTTTACATGTAAACATCACCATATTACAGTTACTCTGAGGATTAAATTTAATGCATGCATTTTCTAGACCATTGTCCAGAACTTGGTTTGAGTCCATTTTTTCATTGTCAATCATGCACTTATTTGAGGCCCTCCTTTGTGCCCAGCATTGAGCTCAGCAAAATTGGGCATAGCACAACATTTAAAGGTATATTCCCCATCCTCAACACCCTTGTGTCTTATACAAGAGGCTGCTTTGATTGATTACCAAATTTCCCTATGTAATCCCTACATTTTCCTCAGTGCTTCTCAGTAATTCTTTTTAGCTTAATGATTCTTTCTTATATTCACTATGACATTTCTTCCACATTTTTGTCACATTCTCAAACCAGTTTTTTTCCCTATATCGAAGGAAATGTAGACATAACCTATTATTTATATACTAGAGGCCCAGTGACGAAATAGGTGTATGGATAAGGTCCCTAGAAGCTGCTGGCCACCAGCCTGGGCCTTTCTTCATTCTGCACCACCCCCTGGTGGTCAACACATGTGATAGCAGGCGATGGAACTTCCAGTTGGTATATTAGGCATTTATATATATTGATATTGTGTGTATGTGTTTCTCTTCTACTAACAAAATATTTTCAAATCTTCTTCCAGCTTATTTTTCATTATTCAGCTTCAGAATGATAAAAATCCCCTTCTTTATAAACATTTATTTATTCAAATAATATTTAAACTACAGAAAAGTTGTAAAAATAATATAGAGTTCACATATGCCATATACCTGCAAGCCTCCTCTGATGATGTTATTTCACGGAATTAGTATCATTATCAAAACTAGAAAATTATTATTTGTCCAATGTTCTTAACAATACTACAGCCCTTATTTAAATTTTAAAACACTTCCTAGAGTTCTTTTTCTGTTCCATGACTCAATTGCAAATCTCACCTGGCATATAGTAGTTGTGCTTCCTTATGTTATGTTCTTCAATATAAATCTTTTCTAATCTGTGATCATTTATCAGTCTTTCCACACACATCAAGACCTTGACACATTTTCTGAGACTGGTATTTTTTAGAATCACTCTAAGTTTGGATTTGTCTGCTGTTTTTTTCAGAGTTTCATCGAGGTTATGAATTTTTGGCAAGAACACCATATATGATGTTAAAAGCTTTCCCTCTAAAATCAGGAAGACAAGGATGCTCACTCTCACCATTTTACTCAACATAGTATTATAGGTCCCTGTCAGAACATTTGGCCAAGAAAAAGAATGCAGACGACATGATTGTTCATATAGAAAACTCTAGATATTCCACCCCCCAAAATGTTAGAATTAATGAATAAATTTAGTAAAGTTGCAGGATATAAAATCAATATACAAAAGAACACTTGCATTTCTTTATGCTAACAAAGGACTACCAGGAAGAGGAATTAAGGAGACAGTCCCATTTATAATTGAAGCGAAAGGAATAATATACCTAGGAATAAATTTAACCACGGAGGTGAAAGTCCTTACACTGAAAACTATGATAGTGACTGGAGAAGTGATACAAACTAATTCTATCATTATTCTGTTACACAAATTGTTTCAGTTTGGAGTATTAGGAGCTTTTCAGGTTGGCTGTTTGGTGTTTCAACATGGCCCATCATTTTTTGAGCACTTCCTTATTTTCTGGTACCATAATATATTCTACTCTTCTTGTATTTTTCTTTGCCTCGGCCCTAAAATCAATGATTTCTCCAAGGGGAATTGGTTTATTTTATTGTAGGACAGTATTTAGAAATACTGAGATCTGGTGCCTGTATTAGACATGGGAGCCAACCTGGGAAGTTATATTACCAGAAATCTTATTTAAAATATCAGAAAAGACTTTGCAGCAAAATCACATTTAAGATGACACTTGAAGATTAAGCGAGTGTTATTAGACAAAAAGCACCATGAATAAGAGGTTCCTACAAAGAGAAGAGGTTCCATAGAGACCCTGAGAACAACCTCAGTGTTCTTGGGGAAGGCATGTCATAAGGTCATTTGAGAAGTTGAAGGATTAGTAAAACAGAAGAGTTTTTTAAAATAATTTTTTTATTGAGGTAACATTGGTTAATAACATTATCTAAATTTCAGGTGTACAATAGTATAATTTGATGTCTGTATACTCTTTTGGGTGCTCACAACCAAAAGTCTAGTTTCCATCTATTACCATTTGTTTAACCCCATTTACCTACTTTGCCTTTTCTCTACTCTCCTTCTCCTCTGTAACCACTATTATGTTCTCTGCATCCTTGAATTTTTTTTATTTTGTTATATTTCTTCATTACATTTTTCTTTTATATTTTACATATGAGTTAAATCAGACTGTTTTTGTCCTTGTCTGTCTGACTTATTTCACTTAGCATAATACCCATAAGATCCATTCATGTTATCACAGATGACAATATTTTTATCTTTTAAGAAATATATATTCTTTATTGATTTCAGAGAGGAAGGGAGAAACACCAGTGGAGAGATAATCATCAATTGGCTGCCTTCTGCATGCCCCACACTGGGTGTTGAGCCTGCAACCTGGGCATATGTCTGACTGGGTCAATGCTCAAGTACAGAGTCATGCCAGCTGGGCCAATATGATCACATCTTCTTTATCCATTCATCCACTGATGGATACCTAAGGTTGCTTCCATATCCTGGCTATTGTAAGTAATGCTGCAGTTAACATTGGGGTGCATATATCTTTTTGAATTAGTGTTTTCATGTTCTTCAGATAAATACCCAGAAGAGGAATGGCTGGATCATATCATAGCTCTAATCTCAATTTGCCGAGGAAC